ATTATTTTAAAGGCAAAGGTTTTTTTCCAATATAATTTTTTTCAATTTTTTTTCATTAGCGTCGGGTGAACCCCAAAGGTTGTTATGACCTTTAAAGTCACCCAAAAGTATGAAAGGGGAAGACAGTTGCAATAGGAGTTCGTCTAGTTGGTTGTTCGTAAAGTCAGTTTCGAGGGAGATAGATGGAACATACTGTTAGCGTTCTATGGAGCGTAACACTAACAGCAGTTGCCTGGAGGTCTGTATTTAATGGTATGTTTCTGTGAGGAACTTGATTGTCGTCCAGGATAGCAACTCCACCAGTTGCTTTGTTGCCAAGCCGAAGCAATTAAACAATGAATAATTTCTGAAATTGATATTTGTGTCGGCTCTGGTGAGACAGATTACACTAGGGTTATGTTCCTGAGAAAGCCGAAGATTTCATCAATATTTGGTAGAAGACCTCTACAATTCCATTGGATTATTGTATCCATATCACTAAAAAAGAAATTTTATTTACAGCTTTAATAGAGATCTCGGAGGATCTGGAAGTAGCTACCTGGTACTCCATATCCTCCTTGCAGCATCACGGGTCTTCACGGTCGTAATACCAACCTTTGCACGACAGGCATAGGATGGACCCGACACAGGTATTTCAACAATCTTTCTTGCTTCGGGGAAAGCAATGTTGTTTGTATACTTGACGCGAAGGATTTCTTTTTCCCTGTGCCAAGCAGAGCAATCTCTTGAATATGCTGGATGCCTTCCACCACAGTTAGCGCAGTGAGCTCGACCATCACAAGCACCATCTCGCGACCCCGTTGTCGTGGCCCACAACTCTACATTTAGCACAAACTTTCTGTTTTTTACAGTTACTAGCATGATGACCAAATTTCGGGCAACCAAAGCATCGCAGTGGGTTTGAGATGTAAACATCCACACCAACCTTTACACGTTTTGGTAAAATTGTGGTGTTAAAAGTAAGAACGAAAGTTTTGGTGTCACGGATGCTGCCATCTCGCTTCACCCTGATCCGTTTAACATGGATGACCTTCTGTTGTTTTCCTTTGAAGTAGCTGAGGATGTTCTCCTCGCTCTCTCCCTGAAGATATGGACAGCGTATAACGCCCTCTGATGTGTTTAGGGAGGAATGAGGGACAACCTGTACATCTATTTCGAAAAACTCTGTCAATCCCAAGAGGTTCCTTGCCTGTTGCTGGCGGATAACTTCCACAAGAATTTCGCCAGACCGCAGTTGTTTTAACACTCTTTGGAGTACCGCACGTTGATAAGATTCTTTTTTCTATAACAAAAGGTGAAACGGATGACGTTGGTATATCCTTTTCCAACGATCGTATAACGATGAATTGGTTGAAATCATGGTCATCTTCGGAGTCTGAAGATGAAGGACAAGGTCGTTTATTTATTAGGGCTTTTCACCATTTGGTGAAAAGACCTATCGTTTTTGTTATGTTTCTTCTTCTTCTTCTTCTTATTATTATTTTTCTTCCGAACTTTATGGGTTCGTAATCTTTTAAACGGTAAAGACCACACCTAATATGTATTGACTATGTTATAGGTACATACTGGAAGGTGACGATGCAGATTTTTTAAGTAGGTCAAAAATCCAACATGGCCGCTATGACGTCATAAGTTAAAAACTTTAAAACGGCCGTAACTCGAAAAGCGTTGAGTGTACAGAGTTCGTCCACTTATGTTATTTGTAGACAATTTCCTTATCTAACTTTTCCCCATGCCATTATAATACAAAATATGTCTAATAAAAAAGCTCGCTATGGGGTCAATATTTGAAAATTTGAAAACAAATTTTTTTTTTAAATTTTGATTTTTCTTGAAAATTTCTTTAACACATCGATGCAGAATGACCTTCCGATGAATTTAGTGATTTTAGTTTCTCTGTAACGTTTACCACTTCCGTTGTATGCCATTTTGAAAATTTCCTTTGATCTTTTAAAAATGCCGACAATTTGGAAAAACTCGATCTAGATCTTTACCAACGGGCTTTTTTTGGAATAATTTATATCTGAAAGGTTTCCCCAGATGTCCTCTACCATTTAGTGTCATTTACAAAATCATCAGAAAAAAAAATGGCCGCCATGACGTCATATCCGATTTTACCTAAATGGCTGTAACTCAATAACGGCTCTAGCTATTGACTTAAGCTTAAAGCAGATTATAAACATAACCCTGCAAACATATTTCGTCAGAAAAAAATTTAGATAAATGGTGAAATTCCGGTTTCTGGTAGGGGTCAAAGTTGAAAACTGCAATTTCGGGTTACTAACTTTGACGAACTTCTCCTCAAATTCTATCAGGTCTAGAGACTTGATATTTCATATTTAATATGTCCAGTCAACAGTCAATAAAGGGTCGTTATATGAATGACCTTGGTCAACTGTCAAGGTCACAGGGGTCAAATGTCTTAAAATCTTAAAATGACATTTTCTCTATAACCAATTAGTATTGAAACTTAATATTTTGTTTACATCATTATGTTATCAATTCCTAACAATAGACATCAGGCAATATTGCAAAAAAAGTCAACTTCCGGTTTCCGGTAGGGTCAAATTTGAAAACTGCTATTTCGGGTCACTAACTTTGACGATGTTCTCCTCAAATTCTATCAGGTTTAGAGACTTGATTTTTCAAATTTAATATGTCCAGTCAACAGGCTATAAAGGGTCGTTATATGAATGACCTTGGTCAACTGTCAATGTCACATGGGTCAAATGTCTTAAAAGTTTAAAATGACATTTTTTTTCTCTAACCAATTAGTATTGAAACATAATATTTGGTCTACATCATTATGTAATCAATTCCTAACAATAGACATCAGACAATATTGCAAAAAAAGTCAACTTCCGGTTTTAGGTAGGGGTCAAAGTTGAAAACTGTTATTTTAAGTTACAAACTTTGACAAACTTCTTTTCAAGTTCTGCATAGCCTTGAGTCTTGATATTTCAAGTGTAAAATGTCTGATCAATTATCTATCAAATTTGTTAACATCAATGACCTTGACCCACTTTCAAGGTCACAGGGGTCAATTATGTAAAAATCGTTAAATGGTAATTTCTCCTTTGTTAATCTGCCCAAAGTCTTCAACTTTGGACATAAATATTCTGTGGACATTTCCTGTCGAATGATATAAGAGAAACGTACCTCAAAATTCAACTTCCGGTTAGCGGTAGGGGGTCAAAGTTGAAAACTGCTATTAAGGGTACCAATCTTTGAAAAACTTCTTCTCAAGTTCTGAAAGGCCTAGAGGCTTTATATTTCACGTATATGAAGCATATGTAACTGGCAACAAAGTTTGATAATATAAATGACCTTGACCTACTTTCATAGTCACAGAGGTCAAATAACTAAGAATAGTTAAATGACATTTTCTCACTTTATAGAAGGCACACAATTATGAAAATTGATTACAAACCTTCTGTGGACACTTCCTATTGATTATTATAAGAAAAACTTCCTTAAAAGTTCAACTTCTGGTTTTCGGTAGGGCACAAACTTGGAAAGAGCTATTTAGGGTACCAATCTTTGAAAAACTTCTTATCAAGTTCTGGAAGGCCTAGAGGCTTGATATTTCATATACAAGAAGGATATGTAACTGGAAACAAAGTTTGATAATATAAATGACCTTGACCCACTTTCAAGGTCACAGAGGTCAATTAACTAAAAATCGTTAAATGACAGTTTCTCCATTTCTAGAAGGCTTACAATGATGAAAATTGATTATAAACCTTCTGTGGACACTTCCTAGTGATTGTCATTAGGAAAACTTCAAGCAAAATGTCAACTTCCGGTTTCCGATAGGGGTCAAAGTTCAAATATACAAAATAGGGTACCATTGTTCAACAATTTTCTTGTCAAGTTTCACAAGGTCTAGAGAACTAATATTGGGGATGTAATGATCATCAGATGTTACATTATAAGGCTTGCAAATATTAATAACCTTGACCGACATTCAAGGTCACAGGGGTCAAATATGTTTGAACCTTTCAAAAGTGTATTTCCTCGTTATTATGTAGTTATATCCTCTTAACGTTTCAAGATACAAATTTCATCTTTGGATATGTTGCAGAGATTAATAAACAATTAATCTTTCTCATATATCGTTATCAGGATAAATGTCAACTTCCGGTCAACTTGTCGCCAAAGGAGTGAAAAGCCCGCCAAATTGTTAACAATAATTTCTAGGTTTTTTTTGCCCATAGTTAGGTGTTTAGGTTTGCATTACCCGTGCTCTTCACCCACCTCGGAGGGCACTACTAATGGTACGGATCTCCGGTACACGAGTGCCAAGGATATAAAGGTAGCGTACCTGAAAGAATAGAACTCTTTCGATTGGCCCTAAAGTCACCGCCTTCTGGGATACAACTGTAAAATAAAAGTTACAGAAACAGATGGGTATACGGTTGGATGAAATAAAAAGGAAAAGACATGACACTTAGGACATAAAGTTGACCCAGGGCTTGGCATGACCAGCCGATTGATCATTCAGGACGATGATGACCACCCGTCTTACTGAGATAGAGGCCAAAATGATGTATTTGGGGAAGGTCATGCGAGATTGCTTGAGAATAAAGTGCAAACCACATAACCGCCCCTCAACTACAGGATCCTTTCTCCCAGTACTAACGGGACGCAACTCACAGCAGACAGGTTGCCTCTTTTAGTGGACTTTTACCACATGCAGTCGGACACAGCGGATATATTCTAACCCCTATTCGCAGGGGATCAATTTCGAGAAGGAATTGCATGTTTATGTATAAATTGAATAACATTGAAATAAAGTGTATGAAGTGTTATGTATATCAGTGTGCTCCATATTTGATTGTATACAAAGTGTCAATATTTTTTTCATGCATACCATTTGGTAGTATTCATTTCTGGACTTCAAAACATATTTAAAAGGTATCAAATTATCGTGATAGTACTACAATAGTCTCGTGACTATCGCAGTACTATTGTGATAGTTTTTTGGTATCAATAGTCACCCCAAATGTCCGGCGATGTTTCTTTCTCCCTGTCATAGTAGGTGGGTGAAGGCGATCGAGTAGTCGAGGCACCATGTCCAACTAGATGAAATCGAAAAGGAATCAATAATGAATAGTTCGCAATTCCAATTTTGTTTCATAGAGCAATAAAGTTATCAATTTGCATTAAAGATTTTTGTGAATTGTGAGGAAATAACACGCATTAAAACGTTAGTGAATTGCTGCAGAGGAAGAAAAATGTACGCCTGGGCTGCAGTGGAAGAAAAATGTACGCCTGGGCTCTCTTTCCTTTCCCGTCATTGTGAAAAAAATTGCCGATAAAAATGAACACACGCCTTTTTAATATCTAAAGTGTTTTGTCCCTTCAACTTTGATGACTAAGATCTGATCTGGTGTGTAATAAGTATACCTTGAGTTATGAGTGAACAAGTTTTAAATCAAACAATATGCCCACTGGGCCTGTTTTTATCGCCTATGAAAACCTTTCTTGCTTCAGACAGAAGGCAATCGGGCGTCCGCTTAGGAAAACCCCAATATTTGATTAAACAAGAGGCCTAGCGGCCTTGACAGTCACCTGAGATAAGCAATATTGAATATAAAGGTTAAAGGATAGTTATCAATATCATGAAATAGAAATTGTGACACTGAATATAGTCAGTGTCTTTACATTCATACAAAACTGTTATCCTATACTGATAATTTTTATAAAGGTATTTCCAGTTGGAAATAACCAACGTTAAGCTAAAAAAAATTTTTTTTTAAATAACAGTAGTGTAAAACAATATTCCTCCCACGGAAGTAATGTGAAACTAATTTCGGTAATTAAAGCACCTTAAGATGCTTCCATTCATGAAGAGTATTTGATTCTACAATATCTGGGTCTGGAGAAGAACATTTGTGAAATGTAAGTCAATTTGACCCCATTTGGTCTCGCCTATCAGCCCCATAGTTCAAAATAGGCATACCATCAAGCTGTCCTCCTTCATTTATAATTCTAACCAAGTCTGAAGCATTTCCAATGGACCAAATTATTGTCAAAAACCCACGGAGAAATGTGAGACAATGAAATTCACAATTTTGGTAAAACGCCATAAAATGCTTCCATTCATGAAAAGTATTGAATTCTACCATATCTGGGTGTTGAGAAGATTTTTGAAATACGAGTCAATGTGACCCTTTTTGGCCCCGCTCCTAATGCCATCATCTTTCAGATAACCAGAATTCTATTAATCTTAACAGTTTAAAAAAGATCTTGAAACGCTACGATAAAAAAGTAGACAGGTCAATGCAGTCCAATAAAAAATGTTTAACGGTGAATGGCTCATCACATCCAATGCACCGAGGGTTATCTTCGCCTTTCAATATATATGAATGCATAAGGTATGTATGACATTGTCTCGGTGGTTGTCTCTATAGTATGAAGTGCTTGGAGGTAGAGATTTATAATACATTACAGCAATTCAAGCCTTCAAGTATCTAAGCGATGTCATGTTATGATGATTCAGGCAAAACTAGCATTACTACTCTTACTGTCTTAACGACCTGTCAACACATAAAAGGTCATTAAGTCCATCAACCGGCAAAACACACAGAGATCCAAAATAGGAAATAACATCAAACAAACAAAAAGGTGAACCACAAATGCTAAAAATCTTAAATGGTTATATTATCAGAATTATAATAATAATTATTATCACTATCTTAACGGCCCGTCAATACACAAAAGGCCATTATGGCCATCAACCGGTGAAACATACAAATGCTAAAAACCTTAGATGGGTATATCATCACAAGAGATTAAAATGGTAAGTCATAGTCTTTAATATAGACCAACATCTTTCAGACAAACTAGAATAAAAAAAACAGTTACAAAAAGGTCTTTGCGTATAGCAAAAAGAGATAAATCACATTATACATACCAGAACATTTGTTCAGTATACACACTATGAAGATCCATAGAATACCCATGCTTTTTATATTATGAGACGAACAAGATGTAATGCATCAAATTAAAGTAAGAAAGTAAATCATGTACGCTTATACGGAAGTCAACACTTTTAAGTTAAGTAGACCCGGAAACTATCTGTTCATCTATGTGAAAAGCTCACAGCATATATGCGGCCAAGAAAGATGCTCATACCAACAACGTGACATTAAAATCAGTTACAATTAAAATACTAATTTTCGTGATATTTGACGGCAGTGTCAAATATCGCTATTCATTTAAAGTTTTAATATCTTGTTCATATATAATAGTTCCAAAAACGGACTAGAGACATGTAATGTTATGTTGAAAAAAAACTCAAGTTGATAGATCAATGCAGTTCAATAAAAAAAAAATTAACGATGAATAGCTCATCACATCCTATGCATCCATTATGCATTACAAAGAACACTGAAACGTTTAAAGAACTGGCTTAAATTGTATTGTGCTACAAACTGTCTTTCAAGCTTGTTCGGTCTACAGGATTGAATCGAATGATGCATGGTTAATATCAGAATGGAACTAGAAAAATTAATATTAGCTGTCTGTCGGATAAACAGAAGTATAACATTGTGTACAAAAATGAAAATAGTGACAAGTACTAGTAGGAAATGTTTTCAAGAATATGCCAAATGGCACGAGGAGAATTATACCAATATTAAGTCGGTAACGTTTGTTTGCAATTTTTATCTTATTAAACCAGTATAAAAATGATGTTTATCCTGAATAATACTTTCGTCAAATAATTCAGATATTGAAAGCGGTCAGCAATGGAGCATTTGCAGACAAAATTGATTGTGTAAATGTTGTGAACGTAGAAGAAATTGAGGATCAATTCTATTTCATATTACAGTGTCCATTTCAGTCTGACTTACGCCAAAGAATCTTATTATATAAAATATTGGAAGCCAAGTGTCTATGAATTAGTACAATTATTAAGTGTTAACAATGTGAAAGAATTGAACACAAAATGCAAACTGATACATTTAGCATTAACAAGAGGCCCAATGGGCCTTAACGGTCACCTGAGGAATATATGTCAATAATCTGGGGATTTTAAAATATTGCAAAAATGTAACAACACTGGTGCAGGACCATGTGTAAAACATCTGTACCAAGTTTGAACATGACCCACCCAATGGTTCTTGAGAGGAAGTCCATAATGTCTTTTGAATCGCCCCATAAAGTTAAAACACTTGCCAGGACCTTGTGTAGTACACTCGTATCAAGTTTCCCCTTTCCCCCTCCTGGGGCCCCTATTGGGGCCATGCCCTTTTTCTTCGCAAACTTGAAGCGGTTTCCCATGCAGATGCTTTGTGCCACGTTTGGTCAAAATCCATCCAATGGTTCTTGATCTTGAGAAGAAGTCATCTAAAGAAGGTTTTTACAGATGGCCCCTTTTACATCCCTTACGGGCCCAAAAGGGAACATAATTACTTTTTTCAACATAATTTCATATGGCCTTCACTAAGGGATGCTTTCTACCAAATTTGGTTGAAATCGGTCAAAGTTGAATTTTTGACCCTTTTGAGCGCCCCCTAGTGGGGCCGTTTTTGACCCGATTTTTTTTCATTCACAAACTGTGTAGACCGTGTCATAAGGACCCTAAATATCAAATAGGAACTTAATCTGACTGTTGGTTCATGAGAAGAAGATTTTTAAAGATTTACCTAATTTTACCACCTTTTCCCCCCTCCTGGGGCCCCTATCGGGGCCATGCCCTTTTTCTTCGCAAACTTGAAGCGGCTTCCCATGCAGATGCTTTGTGCCAAGTTTGGTTAAAATCCATTCAGTGGTTCTTGAGAAGTTGAATATATAAAAAGTTAACTGCGCACGACGCACGACGACAGACAAATCATGATGGCAATAGGTCACCATGAGGCTTCGGCTCAGGCGACCTAAAAAAGGACAGAGAAATTAAGTCAGTAAATATTCTTTGATAAAGTATGTTTAGGTATAAATCGTATACTCATAAGAAAGCCGAGCAGCGTACTGGAAATCAAAATCACCTGACGCCATTCGGGTTTAAACATATCGAGAGGTGAAAATCAATTCCGGGTACTACCTGGTTTATATTTATGACTTATACCACAGAAGTCAGAAGAATGAATATCATCGGTACATCAAATCAAAAATAATTTCAGCAGATGATGATGTCTTCATATTTTCCGGTTCCAGATAAAATAGACAAATTAACAATGAAAATGAATGAGAAAAAGTAAAAAATTGTCAGTATTGTTCTCTAAAACGTGCAAGATGTATATTCCAATATTCTTTGTCAATGTTTGCTATAAGTTATTAGGTTTAAGAATAAATCAGAATTACAATGTTGAACTCTGTTTTTTCCTATATTAATATTCTGTCATAAATGACAACAATAAAATCCAATTCTGGAAAAGTCTTGTTTTACAGTTTTCTTAAATATTTCATTTTCAACTTAACATGTATTGGAATTACATGAAATAATTCAAGAAAACAATTTTGACGCGACCAAGCAGCATTTGAAAATATTTCAGCCCCGAAGATTAGCATATAAAGTTCCGTTTATTACAAATACAAAAACTCAGATATTTGAACGACATAATTAAAAAAATCTAAATATTGTAGTACCAAAACGCAAACGATAACGATTAATTTCTTTTGGAAAAACAACACAAAACAAGAGATCCCAGAGGGACCTTGGCGCCCACCATTTGAGGATCTGTTTTCAGTTCTTGAAGATTTTTTTTGTTTGTTACAGGTGTTTTAAATGTTCATGAACTGGTCTTCATTGAATGTACTCTATGATGGCACAAGATATTTTTATTAAGCACCTATTAGCAAATATCATTTGAAAAAGATCCCAAAGTATTATTAGATAGCAGTCAGTTACAGGTGGATAATGGACAATATGCTTGTGCTGTATTACTGTCGACATCCAAGATAGCTGCCTGTGGGCCACCTTGATTTCAAATCAGTCCAAAAAAGGTACAATGCACAACTAGGGACCGAGGGAAACCAATATCTATGAAAGATCAGAAGGATCCATCCTGGACTTCCTCAGATATAGCAGTAACAAACTTTTACTTCCTGCATATGAAATATGAGAAAGATCCATCCAGTACTTTCCAAGAAATAGCGGTAACAAACTTTTACATCCAAAATCCAAGATGGCTACCTGTCGGCCATCTTGAATTCGAATCAGTCCAAAAAAGGTACAATACAAAACTAGGGACCAAGGGGAACCTGCATATGAAATTTGAGTACTTTCCAAGAAATAGCAGTAACAAACTTTTACTTCCAAAATCCAAGATGGTTGCCTGTCGGCCATCTTGAATTCGAATCAGTCCAAAAAAGGTACAATGCACAACTAGGGACCAAAGGGAAACTGCATATGAAATTTGAGGAAGATCCATCTAGTACTTTCTCAGAAATAGCGGTATCAAACTTTTATTTCCAAAATCCAAGAGGGCCACCTGTCGGCCATCTTGAATGCGAATCAGTTCAAAAAAGGTACAATGCACAACTAGGGACCAAGGGGAACCTGCATATGAAATTTGAGAAAGATCCATTCGGTACTTTCCAAGAAATAGCGGTAACAAACTTTTACATCCAAAATCCAAGATGGCTACCTGTCGGCCATCTTGAATTCGAATCAGTCCAAAAAAGGTACAATGCAAAACTAGGGACCAAGGGGAACCTGCATATGAAATTTGAGTACTTTCCACGAAATAGCAGTAACAAACTTTTACTTCCAAAATCCAAGATGGTTGCCTGTCGGCCATCTTGAATTCGAATCAGTCCAAAAAAGGTACAATGCACAACAAGGTACTAAGGGGAAACTGCATATGAAATTTGAGAAAGATCCATCCAGTACTTTCCAAGAAATATCAGTAACAAACTTTTACTTCCAAAATCCAAGATGGTTGCCTGTCGGCCATCTTGAATTCGAATCAGTCCAAAAAAGGTACAATGCACAACTAGGGACCAAAGGGAAACTGCATATGAAATTTGAGGAAGATCCATCTAGTACTTTCTCAGAAATAGCGGTAACAAAATTTTATTTCCAAAATCCAAGAGGGCCACCTGTCGGCCATCTTGAATGCGAATCAGTTCAAAAAAGGTACAATGCACAACTAGGGACCAAGGGAAACCTGCATATGAAATTTGAGAAAGATCCATTCGGTACTTTTCCAGAAATAGCGGTAACAAGAATTGTTTAGGGACGGACGGACCACGGACGCAGGGCGATTTGAATAACCCACCATCTATTTGAATAGATGGCGGGCTAAAAGACAAGTATAAGCATTTCCTGCTTGACATTTGTCATTAAAAGTCCAGGAAGTGTCTATTTCCGTAAGCAAATGTAAAGAATAGAAGAGATTAGGCGAGTTTGTTTAATTATTGGAGTTAATACATAAACATACACTGGTAATAACGTGTATTGCTTGTCACAAGTGCCCCATCACATCATAATAGCTAGTATTCCTGTAGTCTCCTCCGTCGGCAATAATGTGTATTGCTTGTCACAAGTGTCCCATCACAACATTATAGCTAGTATTCCTGCAGATTAGTAGACGTTTAAATATCCATCAACTTTAGTACTTCGTCAGAAATGCTGTACATGTGTCCGCCTTTTCCAATAGGGACCGTGTACTGTATTTACTATTTTGGTTAATTCCAGATTTTGGGACACGCCTTCCGGCTTTGTAATTGGTCCTGCCCAAATTGTAACTCTCCTGTATGAAAACCAATAAATGCTCTCTTGCGTTTAAGGCATGGCTGGCTTTGGGTTGTTTGTGACAGACACAACAGGCCCTATCTCATCAGAAAAGCAGGCAACACATGTAGGAACTTTTTGCTAGTTATTAGGCAAAAAATATAGATAAAAATATTTTCAAACGAAAATAATTTCATTTGTAGGCATTTATACTGACAATTCGTACCTTCACTTGCTGTTTCGATATTAATCAATGATTAAAATCTACTTTAAAGTAACCATTCA